CAGCCCCTGACCCCCAGCATGGAAATACCAAGGGTAACCATGATCAGTAAAACCAAGGTATGTTGAGATCAAGAGCACTAAACCCATGTATACAATGTAATGCCTCTGTTGGAAGCCAGTATTCAGTCTGTCTGGCAATTCAAATCCCACTGGCAATGGATTTCAGCGTCTTAAGCTTCTTGGCAGAATGACCGATATAAAGGAAAAATAGTGCTTATAGTTACAGCTGTGCAAATACTCCTCAAAGATGGCTGGTGTGGGTCTTCCGGGCTCCTCAAAGAGTTGGGGGGGAAGGCTCCCAACCATTCGGTATGATCGCACGAGGGCGTCCCCAGATCCTGCAGCTAAATAAATAGTCTCTGTTGCTCTGGGGAGCAGAACCGAACCAAGAGACCGACATTTCACGGAAGCAAAATCTGGATAAGCCGGATAGGACAGTAAGCAGTAAGGACTTTTTGGCAACAATCACCAGAAATGTTTAACTGGACTGGATCGTCTAATACGAATTCTCCATTAAGCAGAAAGGTGGACTAGTCGCATTGAATTTTCTTTCTACACGCCCCTCTGCTCCTAGGAGAAACAAACTTCGCTTAACTGCCAGCGGCTTTACAATCAACGTGGAAAAACTCCGCGTAGACACTTCACGCTCCACCACCCCGCACACGGACGCGTCGCGCTGATCTCGGGTAAGCCGAAGACCCAAATCGAGCCGGAAGCCAGGAGGCGTGTTACTCAATTATTCTCCCGCTATGAGGCCCATGATGGGTCTCTCAGGAAACAGAGGAGGGATCCTGGCGCTGGGAGGAGAAAGATGGCAGAGACGGAGGCTCAGCTGCTTATGGGTGTAGGTCTGATTGGTAAGCGCGTTTCCGTTCCTCGCTGCCCGCGGTGGGAATGTCAGGGGTGGGGGGAGAGCGGGTTAGCCCCCCTCGTTTCCCCTCCCCATTTCCATTAGGAAGCGGAAAGATGGATTGTGTGCTGAAGAAGCCGTGGGGGAAGGGAGATGGGGAGAGAGCGTCTTCCTTTTCGCCCCTTCCTATCGGCCTGGATAGATCGCCTTAAGCGCTCTGCCTTTCGCTATGCTGTGCCGTTCGAGCCAACAGGGTCGGATCGTGGCGCTCTTTCGGGTCCGTCTGTGCCCGTGCACAAACAGGAGAGGAGAAGGCTAGGGGGGAAGAAATCCGACTTGGCATGTTCCCTTACCCTACCCAGGAATAAGCGAGCGGAGTATTCACCCATTCTGCTAAGGTAGTTCTTTTTACTATCACTCGTAATACCGCCTGCCTTTTGACAAGCCCAGCTGGCGGACGGCACCGAAGCCACCATGGGGAAACTGAAAAAGCAAAGCCGGGTCAGGTTCAAACCTGGTTGATGCTGACGGAGGAAATCCAGAGAAATCCCGGGACTATGAACTGGAAAAGGAAACACCCTGGAGGAAGGCAGTGGCAAATGGCTTGGGTGTTAATGGCCAGTGTAGCCATCAGAAGTTGAACTTGACTCAAAGGAGGCTTTACAGGCTTGTTTGCTGCATTTCACATAATATACAAAGTTAGAATAAACTCAGCCGCTTTATAGTTTAGTGCAGTGTTTCTCAACCTCAGCCACTTGAAGATGTGTGGACTTCAACTCCCAGAATTCCCCA